CAGCAAATAACAATTCAACAGCTGCAAGATGAGTCAAAGAAAGACAATATAAGACTGATAGGTGTCAACGAAAGAACAGGGAACAACATGAATGACATAAAAAGACTATCTGCAGCAGTAATAGCAGATTTCCCAAGCATGGGACAAGAACCTTATATACACATAAGTGAGGCATATAGAACCCCAATTAGCCATAACCAAAATAAATATACACCCAGACACACAGTAATAAAGATCCCAGAAACTGAGCAAAATACACAGGATATTAAAAGTTGTTAAAGAAAAGAAACAGGGGCTGGGGACTTAGCTCAGCGGCAAAAGCGCTTGCCCGGCAAGCACAAGGTCGTGAGTTCGGTTCCTGGTACCGGAGAAAAACCAAAAAAAAACCAAAAAAAAAAAACCAAAAAAAAAAGAAAAGAAACAGATCACCTATAAGGAAAGCCCATCAGAATAATGGCAGACTTCTCAACACAGATCATCAAGTCAAGAAGAGCTGGGAGTGAAGTATTTCAGGTCCTGAAAGAAAACAACTTCCAGCCCAGATTGCTGTACCCTGCAAATTTATCTTTCAAAATTGATGGAGAAATAAGATACTTCCATGACAAAGATCAACTGAAGAAATCTATGAGCACCAAACCAATCCTACAAACGGTACTGAAAGATATTCTGCAAAGAGATAAAAATGACCACAATCTCAAGACCAACAACAGAAAAGAACTACCAAGCAAGGTAAGCAGTTAAAGAGGGGGTAAGTACAGAACAGTGGGAAAATAACATGACAAGGATGAGTCAATACATATCATTAATAGCCATTAATGTAAATGGCCTCAATTCACCAATCAAAAGGAAGAGACTGGCAAAGTGAATCAAGAAACAAAATCCAACAATATGCTACAAAAAAGAAACTCATTTAACTCAAAAGGAAATCCACAGACCGAAAGCCAAAGGATGGAAAACAATACTCCACATGACAGGAACCCAGAAAAAGGAGGAGTGGCTTTTCTGTTTGCAGACAAGGTAAACTTCAAACCAACAACAATCAAAAGAGATAAAGATGGTCACTATATTCTTGTTAATGGAAAACTGCAAGAGGAAGAGATAACAATCATAAATATATATGCACCAAATGTAGGAGCACCCAATTATATAAGGCAAATTTTAACAGACATGAAAAATCAAATAAGTAATAACACAATTGTAATAAGGGATTTTAACACCCCATTGTGACAAAGAGATAGATCAACTAGACAAAAAAACCAGCAAAGAAATAACAGAACTAAACCAAATGTGTGAACAACTGGACTTAGTAGATCTTTACAGATATTCCACCCAACAACATTAGAATACACATTCTTCTCAGCTGCACATGGGACATTCTCTAAAATAGACCACATGCTAACACACAGAACATGCGTAAGTAAATGCAAAGGAACTGAAATTATCCCATGCATATTATCAGACCATAGTGCAATGAAACTGGAAATAACTGACAAAAGAAATCACAAAAGCTCCATAAGCACATGGAAATTAAATAACACCCTCCTGAACAACCAATGGGTCACAGAACAAATTAAAGTAAAAATTAAACACTATTTACAATCAAACGAAAATGCAGATACAAGCTATCGGAATCTGTGGGATGCAATGAAAGCAGTTCTCAGAGGGAAATTTATAGCAGTGGATTCCCACATCAGGAAAACAGAACACAAATAAACAACCTTATGTTACCCCTCAAACTTCTAGAAAAAGAAGAGCAAGTTAATCCCAAAGCCCGAAGAAGGTAGGAAATTATTAAGATCAGAGCAGAAATTAACACAACTGAAACTAAGAAAACAATACAAAGAGTTAATGAATCAAACAGTTGGTTCTTTGAAAAAATAAATAAAATTGATATACCCCTAGCCAACCTTATCAAAAAAAGAAAAAGAAAAATCTCAAATCCATGCAATAAAGGAATGAAAGGGGTGATATCACTACAGATCCTGTAAAAATTCAGATCATCAATCTTCTGATGAAAATCTTTACTCATCAGATGCAAATGCAGTAGAAATGGACAGATTCCTAGATACATATGAATTACTAAAGCTGAATGAAGTAGATATAAACATCTTGAATAACCCAGTATCAGCCAATGACATTAAAGATCTAAATATAAAACAGAAACACTAGATCTAATGGAAGAGAAAGGAGGTGGAACTCTTGAAGACATAGGGGTCAGTAGAGAGTTCATGAACAAAAACCAAACTGCAAGGGAAATACTTCAAAGAATCAACAACTGGGATCTCATCTTACTGAAAAGTTTTTGCACATCAAAAGAAATCACCAACAGGGTGAAACTAAAACCCACAAATTGGGAAAAAATGTTAGCCAACTGTCCCTCAGATAAAGGACTCTGGTCTAGAACATGTAAAGAATTTAAAAAATCAGGCCCCCAAAATTCAAAGACCCAATACAAAAATGGGCATCTGAGATGAATACACACTTCTCACATGAAGAAATACAAAAGGCAAATAAATACATGAAAAAATGTTTAATGTCATTAGTCATTTGAGAAATGCAAATTAATACAACACTGAGATTCTATCTCACTCCAGAAGGAATGGCTATCATCAAGAAATCAACCCATAACAAATGCTGGAAGGGCTGTGGGAAAAAAGGAACTTTTCTCCACTGTTGGTGGGAGTGTAGACTAGTTCAACCACTATGGAAGTAAGTCTGGAGATTCCTCAGTAAACTAAGATTAGAGGTTTCATTCAACCCAGCTGTTCCCCTGGTATTTTTCCAGAAGAACTGAAAACGTCATACCACAGCAATGTATGTGCACCCATGTTTATAGCAGCACAATTTGTAATAGCTAAATCTTGGAAACAACCCAAATGTCAATCAACTGAGGAATGGATAAAAAAGGTGGTATTTTTATACAATGGAGTATTACTCAGCTATAAAGAAAGATAAATTAGAGGCTTTTATAGGTAAATGGATGCAACTAGAGACCATACTCATTAGTGAAATAAATCAGATTCACATGTGTAAACATCATATTTCCTCCCTACTATAAGAACCTGAAAGAGTAAACAAAGTCTGAAAAGTACAATAGATATTGTAAAAGGGAAAAGAAACTGTTCAAATAGGAAAGAGCAACTGGGATGAAGGAGGGGAGAGGAAAAAGAAAGAAGCAAAAGGGAAAAAATATGTACATATATGCACAGGAAAACTAGGATAATTGTATTACTAATATCTGTTGGTTTATTGAAAGGAACTGTTAATGTGTAATTGATCAATCTTGCATGCCTGTATCTGGTTATATGTGCGACCATTTTGAAGACTACATTATGTAATATAACAACCACTGTTCACATCCTATCTCTATGTTTTGAAATTCTGTATCATTTTTATTGCTCTCTACGCTGTTTTGTCTATGTACTTGTTTTTGTTATTTTGAGTTTTTTTTAAATGAAAAACAAAATTTAAAAAAAAAAAAGAAAACCAAAATTTTTATGTATACACAAGGAGAGCAGGAATAGGTGTATTGCTGATATCTGTGGTTCATTGAGAGCAACAGTCAATGCTTAAAATTTTCCTTTTTCTTGACCTATTTTGCATGCTTGAATTTGGTAATCAGAATAACTGCTCTAAAAACAATATGCAGTATAAGAACCACTGCTGAACTCCTAGTCTTGTATGGTGAAGCTCTGCATCACTTCCAGTGTTTTACTTTTTGTAATTTATTTTAATTTTTTTTTACTTGTTACTCTTTGATTGTTTGATCAAGCTCACATTCTTATGTCTAGTGGACTGAGCAACTTCGTTCAAGATCACAGTATGTAATATAGCAACCACTGTACATTTCTGTCATTTTGTTTTGAGGTCACGTATCATTTTTGTTGTTTTGACTTTGTCTTCACTGTTTTGTCATTTTTTTAATTTTTAAAATAAAAAAAATTGTAAAAAAAGAAAAGTCAAATTATTGTCACTGTCACATAAATATATAAATATACATCTATACATTTATATATCTATCTATATATATAAATGGTTCATTTTTTGAGACAGGGTCTCACTATGTAGTTCACAATGGCCTTTAACTCACTGTATAGGCCAGCCTAGCCTCAAACTTGTGGCAATCCTCCTGCCTCAGCCTCCTGAATGCTGAGGTTACAGGGCTATGCCACCATGCTCAACTGTCACTGTCCACTTTATAAAGCAAAACAAAAAAAAACATTCTGAGTTATATAATTTAGCCAACAGGGAAGATATAAAAATAGTATATTTATTGGTTGACTATACTAGTATCTCATATGAACTGAAACTGTCACAGAAAGATAGCTAGTTATAGCTACATATTAAAAATATATTAATTATTGTGAACTATAGTCAAAGCATCCCTTCTGATTCATTTCCTTTCTTCCTCTTACAGGCCAAGCACTATGCTGTGTGCAAGGGCACTCAATGGTAAATAAGCTCTTCTCCTCAGTAAACATAAACTAGTGCAGGGCTGACAAACTTTTTCGGTAAAGGGCCAGATAGTAATTTCACAGACTTTGGAGCCATGCAGTCTCTGCTGCCAATACTCAACTCCGAGGAAAGGCAAAAAGAGTCAGAGACAACACCGACACCAACTGAGCACAGCCGTGGCAGGAGATCTACTTACACAACAGCAGGTCAGCTAGACATGCTCCACGGGCCACAATCTGCCAAGCTGTTCTCTAGTGAAAAACCACAACTCAACAGAAATTTCACTTTACACGGCAAAAATGGAGAGCTGTAACAAAGCAAAGGAAAAAGCATGCTCCAAGAACATGAACTCAATCAACCGTGGCTTCTGGGAGGAGGCCAGCATCCACCACAGACCTTACTGTCTCAAAATTCACATTACAGAACAACTCAAGAGCTTATTTAGGAAATGTAAAACACTACTGACTAGAAAAGAACTGCTCTCTACATAGTACTCTCTAAGCTATTCCTCCAAAATTATTCTACAAGCACACCTGAAAACTTACCTTGAGTGATTGTTTTGAGAACGATGAGGGTTGATAAAAATCGCAATGGCAAATTCGCACTCTTAAAAAAAGCAGCTGTCTTTGGTTTAACCTCCACAGAATACTCTGAAGAATTATCCTGAACTCCTTTAATTACCACACCTTTAAATATGTCTTCACCCAATCGCCGCAATGTTGATGTCATAGTTGAATGCTATTAAACATAGGTACAATCTCAGTATATTTTTATGCATGTTCAGAAAAATTCCTATTTTAAATATCACAATCAAATATATGAACTCAAAATGAGTTTCTGTTCATCAAAATGATAAAATGAAATGCAGTATTAGAAGATGGCAATTTGATAACTTTCAAACATTGAAGTATGACTGTGTATTTTCTGAAACAGAAAGAACCGCAGATTGAGCTCTATTTCCGGCACAGCTGGGCCAGCCAGGCTCGGCTGACCACTGACAGCCAGCAGGCCAAGTGCGACTCACTACACCTGCAGAGCAGCCAGCGAAGCCTCCTGCTTCTGCCACTCACCATCAGTGAGTGGGGCACTGGTAACCCAGAACACTTAACAAGCTCAAAATAGTAAAATACTAGTCAGAATGCCAGAGGATTCCTGTGCAGAACAATCTGAAACAAGAGGGGCTGGGGAGATAGCTCAGTGACACAGCACCTGCCTGGCAAGCACGAGGTCCTGAATTTGATTCCCAGTACCAAAAAAAAAAAAAACACCTTGAAACAAGAAAGCGGGCAAAGCAAGTAACGGCACAGAACCACCTCTAAAATAACATGGGACCAAAATGAAAGAGAAGCACTTCACATTGCAGGTCTAGAGAAAACAGAAAGTATGCTTTGTTATGACCCCGTTCTTCAGGTCTCTGTTACTGTTACAGGTCTGTGAACAAATGTTCCAGCAGAGTTCTGGTCCTGCAATGTGGACAAGCGCAAACTTCTAAATTTCTACACCCAGTGTCAGAAACAGGTACGCTGAGATTTTGTGGGTGTCAAAGGCCAGTGGCTGGTGAGGAAAGGCATAAGCAGTGCACCCTAACAAACACACTGTCGACAGGAGTTCGCACCTTCAGGTAAGAGCAAACGGAAAAATTACTTCGAATGCTTCCTATTACTTTCATAGTAAAAATATTTTTAATTTTAAAAATATGTATGTGGACACTACTACTACTCTTTAATTGAAAAAGAGGAAAAAACTCCACAAAAGTTGCTTTTTTATTTTTGCTGAGACTTCACCAAAGGATACAGAAACCAATCTAGACTCAAAATATGTAGTTTTCAATCTAAAACCACTCATCATACCAAGAACCAAAAGATTTCAAACTAAATTTAAAAAGATAATCAATAGCTGTCAATATGACAAAACGTTAGAACTATCTGACAAAAAAATTTTAATCCTCCAATAAAGTGAGCAACTATAAACGCTTTAGGAAATGTCTCACAGAAATCAGGTCTTACCAGAAAAAACAGAGAAGAACCTAACGGAAAGGTTAGTACTGGAAAGAGCGCCAACGAAGGAGCTAACTCAGTGTGCAGCCTCGGTAGCAGAACGGAGGAGCCAGAGAAGAGAGTCCCCTACCAAGAAATATAATACAGAACACAGCCAATCTGAACACTCAAGAGAAACCGGGAACCACCAACAGGAGCAGCAAGCAGAACTTCAAGGAACCGCAAGATTTCAACATGTAATAAGCACATCACCGGAGTCCCCAACAGGAGGAAGATCAGGTAGAAAATTCCAAGGAATCTTTAAGAAACTTACAGAACTACGACAGGAAAGGCCACAGGATACAAAAACTTCTTTCAAAATCAATTCTACTTCTGTGTTCCATCAATGAACAGGCTGACACGAAAATTTAAAAAACAGTATCAATTAAAACCACATAAAAAATTAAACTCAGCCGAAAATTTTTTAAAGGTACAGGAATTCAAGATAAAAAAAACTATACAACAATAGTGAAAGGAATTAAAGTTTCAGACAAAGGGAGAGAAACAGTTCTGTACTGATGAACTGGAAGACTAGCAAAGTTCAGATTCCACTTCTTCTCAAATGGATACAGGTTTAAGGTGGAAATCCCAGCAATACAGACACAGGGAAGCTTATTCTCAAACACAAGGGAGCACATTCGGCGGGGAAACGGGTGGGTGTGGACTGACACTGCACAGAGCACCCCTGCAGCTGCACTGCTCGCTGCCCTTACCTGCGCTCCTGCATCCAGCTGCCGGAGGGACCAGTAGATGAACCTGATGAGCGGCTCGTGGAGCCGGGCACTGACCAGCGGCAGACACTGCAGCTGCTCCGTCAGCACAGGCAAGAGCTACAGACAGAAGACAGGGAACATCACAGCAAGGCCTTGTCAGGTGCCTGAGACCCACTCCCGTGATGTTCCGAAGAGTAACGACCAAGAGAACGAGGCACTGCCTAACAAAATCCCCCCAAACACATGCAGCGCAGTGCGGCCGTCCCGACCTGAGCGCCTACGTGTGCTCCCGTCTATGCAGCAACAGCACACTAAGAACTGAGACCGACCCACACAGAAGCTCCAAGGGCCAAGTAAGTAACCCTAGAAGTGGCAACCTGCACCAGGTGTGGTGGCACACGCCTACAATCCCAGGACTAGGAGGCTGGGGCAGGAGGACCGCTCTCTGACTTTGAGACCCACCTGAACTACACAGGAGACTTTGCCTCAAAAAGACAAAAAAAAAAACAAAAATAAAACGTAGGTTTATATTCACTACCACGGCATATTCTGAGATGAAAAAAGCAGGTGACAACAGAGCAAGTATAATGAAGATGCCAATTTATATAAATATGTTAAAGTCAATTTGTAAAAATAACTTTTTAAAAATTTAAAGATGTTAGTGAGCTTTGCTTCCACAGCCAGAGGGCCCTCAGCGACATGCCCGGATGCTTCAGAGCCCAGGCACCACTCAGGCCTTGGCAGCACGGGGGCCTCTGTCTTCCACACGTGGGACAGAGTTCTGCCAGCAGCCCAAGCCAGCACGGGGCCCTCCAGGGAGCAAGGGTGTGAGGACAGCGGGACTCTGGCCAGCTGAGACCCCTGTCAGACCTCTGCCCTGCGAGTGACATGTAACCAGCAGCTGTGCAGACGAAGGGTGCCTCCAGCTGACTGCGTCCTCTATGCTGCCGACGGTGTTTGCATCTCTGGCTGTTTCTTCTGACTCCCTCTGGGTTAAAGACTGTGTGAGTACAGGCCCACCCAGAAAATCCTGAGTAATCTCCCTGTTTTAAGGTTAGCAACTTTAATTCCTTTTGCCATGAAACACAACACTGACAGCTTCCCAGAATAAGGCTGTTATTCTACCTGCTACAAAAGGCATTAAAAGAGCCAGGCATGGTGGCACATGCCTGTACTCCCACCATTTGGGAGCTGAGGCAGGAGGATCACTAAGAGTTCATGGCCAGCCTGGGCTACAAAGTGAGTTTAAGGCCAGCTTGGACTACACACTGAGACCCTGTCTCAAAAAACAACAAAAAAAAGGCATTAAAAGAAACACTGATTAAGGACCAAAACTGGGACTAATACACTCAAATAAAAGCCTGGTCTATATTTAATAATCATGAAATCATTCCTGAAATTGGGTAAAATTTCTTTCCTGAAACTGTGTGAAAACAAAGTAACAAAAAACTTTAATGTCTTTTCTTCAAAGTTTTCCTGTATTGCCTATGGACCCTAACTGCCATTTTTTAAAGACCTTTGGTATTAACTAGAAATCACAAAGACCAACATCCACATTAATGCCTATATCTTCATACATTATTTCTCTTTGGTAAGGAACTTGAAAACAAACTTTTTATTCCTTCCTGCTAAAGACTATGTTTCATACCCTAAAATTATGTGGAGGAATTGTCCACATCTGTATGTATTTTTAACTCTAATATACAATTATTTCCAACTTTGGGAGTATGTTGTTAGAGTCTTAGCTCTAGTTTTAAAAAATAAATCACTACCATATTAAGAAAAATTTAAGTACGAATTAATAGGGTCCAAAATTAATCTTTTTAGAAATGCCTATTGGCATGCCCAACTTTCTACCCCAAAATCTTCCATTTGTAAAATCTCCCAAAGGTTTTCCCTTTAATCTGAGTATCCGGAACCATACATTTCAAATTTACAAACAAACCTTTACACACTTCTCTTGAATATCACTTCTCTGAGCAGCAGATTTGAGGGGCAGCTTTTCACCATCCACGTCAGGTTCTTCGTGTTTCACTTTGCTAAGGTGATGTTCCGAAATCCAGTCCATGAAGACAGTTAGAAGTTCATATACCTGCCCATTAAGTGGTACCTATGCGTCAAAATTTAAATCAAATATTTATTTCCGTTCACGACCTCATAAAAGTTCAAAGGCAAGCCTTAAAATTTGGTAAGTGATTACACAGTAATTTATCGAGAGTATTCTTAGCTTTATTGACAGAAGTGTAAGGATGGAGATTTCCCAAACAAGCAAGAGAAATTCCAAATCACATGTCCCCAAATAATATTAGAAACATTAAATGCTGGCAAAAAAAAGGTAGACAACTCATCACAATAAACTGAAAAAACTGCATATTAAAAAAAGACTTTCAAAAAGTTCTTTATCCAAGATTGACAAGACAGAGAAAAGTGGTTTTAACTAACATGAAATCACCAAATCTAAGAGTCTAACAAATTTAACTGTTTCCAAGGCTAAAGAATTTCCTCTCAGATTTCATACTTTTTCTCCCTCCCAGTAGTTATTTCCTTTGTTTTTACAGTACAACCCTCTATATCCATGAAAATTCCTTTATGGAAACCCTATCCTCTGACAACCTACCACACTAGAAGGGAAACAAGAACAAAATGCATCAGTAACTTATAAATGTGCCAAGAGTGACTTTAGCATTCCTTTGTAACAAATTTTTACATAAAATGAGTCACTCCTGTCATACCACACTGCAGTAGAGTGGGGGACCAGGGAAAAAGGAGAACTGAGTCACTAGTACCTGCTCCAGGAACTGTTTCACAGGACCTGCCCAACAAAACCACCTGTCCTGTCCTATTTCCACTTAGCAACAGATGGCAGACCTGCCCACTGTGACGCTCAGCCAGCTTCACAAGGGGCTGTCACACCTGCCAGCGCTGATGGTGCCAGTGAGCTTCTGTTGAAAACTAACGTGTGCAGAGGTCTCTATCCGTAAGACCCCCGCACTTTCCTTTATTCTCCAGGCGCAGCAAGAGCCACCCCGCCCGTCATGTCTGTCCTGGACTGCAAGCTGCTCTTCACTCCCAAACAGGAAGCTCCTACATCGGCGATGCAGCTCTCCACTTTTGTTTGACACCTCCGAAACACTGTTGATCAATTTAATTCAATGTTTTTCAATTTTCATTTATCTACCTTAAGCTGGGAATGATGCTAGATTTAATTACTTTTTAAGCTACACAAAGATGGCAAAATATAAAAGCAAATTAATAAAAATGCAACTAAGAAGAATCACAAAAACAGAATCAGGTGACTGAAAACAGTAATAGTAGTTATCGTATTATTTTGACAAGAATAATTGAAACTGTCTCATATTTTTCAAATAGAAAGAAAGAGAAACTGCCTTTAGATGAAACTTCAATTACCTTGAGTACCTGAGCATAAAATCTCCACATTTTCCATTTATTTTACACAAAGAACTAGAGCTTGTCATGATAGCATACGCCTGTAATCCCAGGTACTTGCAACGCTGAGGTAGGAGGATCACAAGTTCAATCAAGCCTTGGCAACTTAGGGAGACCTTGTCTCAAAAAATGAAAAAGGGCTGGGGTGCTGCTCAGTGCTAAACACTTGCCTAGCATGTGTAAGTCCTGGGTTCGCTCCCCACTACCACAAGGAAGACAAGGACTAGAAAGTTTATCAAAGTGACTGATGCCTACAATGAGTTACTACCACGTACTCATTAAGAAGGGTCAAAGTAAAAAGAGCAAAACACCACATACTGGTAAGGCTGGAGGGCAACCAGAACTTTCACAGCTAGATGTATCACATGGTTCGGATATGAAATGACACTTTCTTACAAACATACACCTTACCTGCTCACCAAGAAATTCCAGTCCTGGATGGATATCCAAGAAGAATGAAAATACATGACCCCAAATCCTGTATGTGAGTATTTATAGCAGCTTTGTTCACAGTAGGTAAAAAACAAGAATCATACAGGTACCTGTTAACAGTACAACGGACAGGCCGGGCGTGGTGGTGCATGCCTGTAATCCCAGCACTTGGGAGGCTGAGGCAGGAGAATCACTGTGAGTTTGAGACCAGCCTGGGCTACAAAGTGAGCTCAAGGCTAACCTGAACTGCACAGGGAGACCCTGTCTCAAAAAGACAAAAAAAAAAAAAAAGAAAAGAAAACAAAACCCAACAGTACAACTGACAGATGAACTGTGATACATTTATACAACGGGACAGTGAGTAACACAAAGGCAGAAACTACTGACAAACCCACTGTTATGCTGACAAAATGAACCCTTGCCAAATGAGGGCACACGTACAGCCCACTGGCTGAGGCTACAAAACAACCAGAGCTACTGCAGGGGGACAGGCCAACAGCTGCTGCACAGAGGAACCTGCCTGGGGGATGAGGACACTTAGCTGAATGTTACACAATTTTACCAACACTGATCACACACGGACTCGGGATCTCTGTTCTATTACTGTATGTAATTTACATTTCAAGTTTTAAATTGTTAGGAAAAAATACCAGGGGCCAATTCAGAGATGGACTTCAGTATGACAAAAAAACAACATCAAACACTTGCAGAATCTGAGCCACCAACTACTAGCCCTGAGGGACCTGTCCATGTCACCACGCCTGAAACACAGTGGAAATGTTCTGGTATATCTAAAATATTCTAGGGTTATTTCTCCGTAAAAGAATTATTACGGCAAGCCCTTTCATACCAAAAAGAATGTTCACTAAATGAAAGAACAAAAGAAAACTTCCTAGCTGTCCACTGGAAAAATCTTCAGTTGCATCATACCTTAAAAGTTTTTGAAGCTGGTACTTTTTCTTGCTTTAAGCTTTTCATTTCATGAGCAGCATGGGAACTTCCTTTCAATCTCTGTATTGTCATAAATTCATACTTCCTCTGCAATGGAACACATCCACAATCATATGGAAAGTAAGCCAATCCAAAGGCAATGATGCCAAAATGCACTTAAAGAAGAGCAGGCAACACACCTGTAGGTTATCTAAGCGGGCCTGAACTCTCTTCGCCTGAATCTCCATCTTCCTGTTTTCTTCACATACTTCATTTAACTAAAGAAGGGAAAAGTTCGCAAGTTCAATACAAAACTTTAACTAATTACACTGAGGGCTTCTCCATCCCCGCCCTCACCCAGCCTACTTAACCATGCACGTGACAGAACAGAGGCAGCATTCAGGGCTGGAAAGGGCTAGAGCTACCATCTCCAAGTTCCCCTAACACATTACTATGCCTAAAAGCTTACTTCATTCTACGAAGAACTTGCAAGACTCGTGACATCTTAAAAGCATAAACTTTAGTGGGAAAAGATTTTAAAGTAAATTTTTACTGAACTGTAACATACATAAAGAATCCTAAGTGAAATAAATCAGACATGCATGTGCAAGCACCACATTGTTTCACTAGTGTAAAACCTGAAAGAGTTCATTTAAACTAGGAGGTAAGACAGACATTGTGAAATGATAGGAACACACTCAAGGGTAAAGGGCAACTGGGATGTGGGAAAAGAGAAGGGAAAAAAGGAGAAATTTTGTATGTATGTGTATACAGAATAGTTAACATAGTTGTTCTACTGTCTTCTATTTCTTTGCCGAAAGAAACTGTCAATGAGTCCTTGGTTGATCAGTATTGCATGTCTCTATCTGTTTTCATGAGAAGCCACTTTGAAGATATCAATATGTAATACAACAAGCATTGTTAATTTCCTACCACTTTGTTTGTAACTCTGTATTGTCTGTACTGTTCTTTTGCTATTTTGTAAAAGGTTGTCTGTTACTGTTTTCCTCCTTTTATTTTTAAAACAAAAATATATATATATATAAAGAAAAATGTACAAATCACACCTGCAGTGCACTGAGCTATTATTCAGACTGAGATCTATATAAACAATGGGAAGTGCTAACATCTCCACAGTATTGAGTCTTCCCAACCAGGAATGTTAACAGGCCCCTCAACTGGTTTAGGTTTTTCTTCATCCCTTCCTCCCCCCCACTTCACTTTGGTGACAGTGGGGATTGAACCTGGAGCTTTCCTGCTGAGCTACATAAACTCTAACCCTTTCATTTTTTATTTTGAGACAGAGTCTGTAAGTCACTAAACTGCCCAAAGCGCAGCTTGAATTTGAGATCCTCCTGCCTCAGCATCCTAGGATTACTTGCACTTGGGTCAGACAGGAAGCGAGTACAACCAAGGCCTGGCTTTGTGTCCCAGAGAGTCAATTTGCCTCTCATCTGCCTGCTCCTAAAGGCAGCCCTGCTCCTGCCAACTACTCTGAGTGTTCCCTAGCATGCCATCCCTTTATGCACTGTGAACATTAAACCCGGTCTCCTCAGCATACCAACTGTTAACATGCTATGTTTTTAAGTTGTTATCATTATTACTAAGGTGTACTTATATCCACTGCTATCACACACTACGGTGCAAGCCAGTCACAGAAACACACCTTTCACTGGCCATTTCTGAGTACGCACATCCGTCACATCAGAAGCTGACAAGCTGCAGCTGCAGCACAGCCATACACACTGCCCACAGCTGCCTCAAAGGCATCATGAAGGAACAGCTTGGTCCTTACTGAAAAAGACTGCTGGTCACTGACCTATTCTAAACGAAGGACCCACTCACTAAAAAGCATTCTGCTACTCAGCACCAGGAAGTTTCCCCCAACTCAGTTTGGATACAGTAGCACCCAAATGCAGTTACCAATGGATCCAGTCATAAATAACCCACATGTCCACCCAATCAGAGTCACACAAGCACTTGAGACAGGGTTGGGCAACAGCAGCATACTCAGCACAGCTAGTAAAGAAACCTTTCTCACAAGTGGTGCTTGCAGAGAGGACTGTTGTAGTCAGAGTTTTCAAGGGAAACAACTTAATACAGGACACAAAATTTACAGGATTATAATATTCACCCAAAGAGTTAAGTGCAAAAGTGTGGGAGGTCTGTTCACACACTAGTGACCCCAAGAATGCCACTGAGGGCCTGGATCCCACAGCAATGTCCTGCACAAGTCCAGCAGAAGATCTAGAGGCTGTGGCACTATCCTCCACGAGCCCAGCTGGAGGCCTAGAGCCCAGGACAATGTCTCACGCAAGTCTGTATCAAGGATCTGCACTGGGAAGGCCCAAAGGCCAGTGGTGGAAGCTAGAAAGTCCGCACCACTGGGATGAAGGATTTGTGCCAGCAGGCTGAGGGATCTGCCCTGGAGCCAGGAAGCGACGCTCAGAGTAAGGACCTGAGCTCCCCTGAAAGGAACCGCAGCCATACTTAGCAACAGGGAGGACCCAAGCTCCACCAATGACGCGAACAGCTGAGTTCCTATCAGGAAAGCCAGCGCAACAAGCTTCTCCAGGAGAACCAACAGCCCCATCTTCCCTTCCAGTTCTCCTTTTATGCTACTGGCAACAATCTTCAGGTAGGCCCTCCACACCCAGCACCACGCTGACCCAGTTCAGCTGGGAGCTACGAGGTGCCCGTTCGTTCATCCACCACAGCGATGGCAACAGTCGTCCTTCCAGGGGAGAAGCAGGCTTCCTAAGAGACGACCTCCCCTGAAGGCCCCACGGGATCAGAACCAGGCTCAGGGAGCCCAGAGCAGAACACAGGAGGAGCACAGAGCCAGGCAACTCTGCCAGGGTGGACAGTGGCACCAATATCCCCCCGAATCACAGCAGAACAACGGGGGCAGAGCTGCTCAGGGAACCCCAGGGGCAAGTTCTGAGAGTAAGCCTGCCTGCACTGAAATCTGTCAGCCCTGTGTTTTCAAAAAGTGAGTGTGCCTACCTCAATTTCTGTCCAGAAGCATCTTCTGTCCTCAATTAAGTCACAGTCATCACACACACTCATTCTAGTTCTCACCAACCACATTCCTTCATTTTTTTCACAGAGAAGGGAAAAAAAGATGTAACAACCAAATGCCTGTCATCCCATCCCTTTGGAAGCCAGAGGCAGGAGGATGGTGAGTTCAAGGCCAGCCAAGGATACAGCGAGACTCCATCTCAAGACAAGATACCGTTTTACAGAGTTTTAGTATTAGATGTTGACCTAAATTAATACCACTTAAGTAAATTATTATAGTGCAATGTGATGCAGGTCTCTGCCGTGAAACTGTGACAATGTGAAGCCATGAGTGTGGTAGTGTCCAGCACAGAGCAGACACACGGAAAACAAGTGAATGTTGAAGAGGCAGTGTTACAGCCGTTACAGCAGCAAGTACTACAGACAGAAATGAGTGCTAAAAGTTTCTTAGTTCTCAGGTTTTTCATTTGCTTGTCATCTATAATGCTACAGTTTTGTTATCTGCAGTGTCATACTTCTTTTAAATTTCTGGGTGCGGTGCAGTGCCTATAGTCCCAGCTACCAGGGGAGGCCAGACTGGAGGACAGAGAGTTCCAGAGCAGTCTGGGCAACACAGTAAGACCCCTGCCTCAAAAACTACTCACTCACTCACTCACTCTGCCAAACATATCAGCTGTTTGCCAGTACAGAAGAAGCAAGAACTTAAGGATGTTTTATTTACATTTGCAAGTATTTTATAGTAAAGCTAAAAAATTTAATCAAAATTTTCTTTAGCTGAGAGGTTCTAAAATGATGTATAATGTTAGATATAAAACATAATCCTTAGAAGGCCTTATAGTCCCATATGTAGTAAAGTAGGACTTACCTGTTTTTTTAAGTTATCATTCAATTCTTTCAGTGCATCAAAAGAGGACCTCAGTCTCTTGCTTTCTTTATTTCTCTCCTTAAGAACTTCAGTTAAATGTTCAACTTCTGCACTGTGTTGCTAGGATGAAAAAAATCTACACATTTAAAAACGAGGTAAGTGTCCCATTACTAATATTACCAAACATAAGTTAATTAAAAAGTAAGACACCTTCAACCACAGAAACTCTCATCAGTAATGGAGACAACTATGAAGCAGCCCCAAGTAGGACTTAACCAATTGGCTTTTTATGTTTACTTGTGAATCTGTCCAAAGCCTAGGCCTCATGTCTGGAAGTGGGCAACAGACTCATAGTAAGTGAACCTCTGTGAGTCACTGATCCCTAGTAAGACCTGTAATGGCAGATGAAGTTGGAAAGCCTCAAAGGATAAGACAAGATCACAGCCAAGAACACCTGGATCCGATCACAAGTAGATAAAGACTGTAGCCTCAGGCAGCTCACTCCTGGGTGGATTAATTTAATACCTTACTTGAGGAAGTCCTTGAGTGATTCTGCCCCTCCAGAGTACTCCTCTCCCTTCTTCTGATAATCAAATAAATACACGTCACCCACAGAGGTCTGGGTCTTAGTCCCGAGTCAATCTCAAATTCTCTAAGAGGGCTTTGATTCTCCTGCAGCCCTGAAATCATTCCATTTGCCTCTTTTTATTTAGCCTTCACCATAATTCGTTAGGGAGATTGTGGACCTGATTAGCCTGCAGTAACTAAGGGATATTATTAACACGATAACCAGTGTATTTAAGCATAGGTGATTAATGTGGCAAATAATTTATAAAAATAAGGTGATCAACCCGAGTGACAAGAAAACATCAATAGCATTTGGGGAAAAGGCTCAGGCACATTATCATACAAATTAAGTCTACTTTTCGCTTCTGCTCAGAAAAATACAACCGAAACATGTAAGTCACTGAAATATTTTCTACTTTACTTCAAGGAATAATAAAACAACAAAACATTTCTGATCCTTTTCAAGACACTAGTATACTACTCACACCTTTACAAATTAAAATGTAAGCTTCACATCATGCTTAAACATACTAGAAACAGTCCATAGAACTAACTGATTTCTTATTCTCATAACATAGCTAAAAGTCTGATGCCAGCTTCACATCTAAAAAAAATTTTTGTTTTTTGTTTTTTTGGTTTTTTTTCCCAGTACCAAGAAATGAACTCACAACCTTGTGCTTGCCAGGCAGGCGCTGTGCCGCTGAGCTAAATCCCCAGCCCATTCCTCTGAACCCCAAACAATTTGACTCTCTCCCTAACAGGTTTCAGAAATGACTCAAACCAACCTGTCCTCTAACTACATTTCAATGGGACAGCACATCAGATTTAAGATATGAATACTTATAAGACAAATAAGCTTAATGTGAGATCTGAGAATCTAAGCACTCTTTCCTTAGCCTGTGGAAAACTCCAACCTGAAAAGTGTATTTATGTGATTTTATTACTATCTTAAATGGCTCCGCGAAAACCTAGTATACAGTTACAAATACAGGTATTTTTAGAAGTAGCTTAATATTCCTATTGTCCAACTGTTCCACATTTAAAGATATTAAAACAATGTGAGCTCCACTTCCAGGAAGGAAGGATAGCCCCACCTCCCTCTGTCCTGACTAAAAGCCCTGGACAAAGCCCAACAGCAATCACTGGATGCCTTGAAAAGCAGAAAGGAGTGAAGTCCAGAGAAACCCTTAGGGGTGATCGTGCTCATGTTTCTGTTTTCCCTTTGCTCTTGACGTTCTGCTCCAAGATGAAGAAGTGGAGGGAGAAGTGGGGTGAAACCTTCCCATCTTCCCTCCAGGAGAGCCAGAGGAGGGCCCCACAGCCCAAGGGTAGGGACCTGGGAGAAGATACCCAGGAAGAACCCCCACTGCCCCTGTAGCTGCCCAGCAGCCAGGCAGGGGACAGAGAAGCCCAGAGGCAGGCCTCAGGCTTCCCCTGGGAGGCTGTGCACAAGACAACCCCAGGCTCTGCAGCTCATCTAGGGGACCCCGCTCCACAGGCGGGCAGAGACAAGGGCTTAAAACAGCAACATTCTCCAGAGACATGAAATTCACCCAAACTACACCCAAAAGGTTTCACGTACAATCCCAAAATTGCTGGACACACAAAATACAACAAAGTCTCAAAAAAAAAGACCATCGGGGCTGGGGATTTAGTTCAGCAGCACAGTACCTGCCTGGCAAGCAGGAGGTCGTGAGTTCAACTGCCAGTACTGGAAAAAAACGAACAAAAACAACAACAACAAAAAAAGAGACCATCAACAGACACCAATCTGAGAAGACCAGATGCTTCCATCTCTGCTTCATGAGGTAAACAGTGTGAAAGCAAATGTGAACACACATTCTTAGAAGAAACGCAAAACTTTTAAAGAATATAATTTAAAATGTGAGAACTTTATCAGAAATAATACATCCACTAAATGGGCTCAATATCCACATGGTTGTGAAAGGAAACAGTGAACCTAAAGAGAGACCAAGGGAAATTATCTACTCAGAAGACAGAGATGAGAAAACAGGAACAGAACCTCAGACATCTTTTGATAGCAAAAGTTACCAGAGACCCAGGAAAGGAGAAAGCAGTTAGAGCAGAAAAAATACTGAAGGAAAGATTAGCTGAAAAATCCCCAAACTTGGCAAATAGTTAAATTTCTAAATTCAAGAAGCACATAGCCCTTGAATCAGACAAACTCGAAGTAGACAGGTCGTTAATGATCCACTTACAAGTCGTCCTGGCAAAGGCAGATCTCAGGGACAGGACAGATCAGGGTTGCCGAGGGCTGCAGATGAATACAGAGGAGCGAGGGGCCACTCTAGCCCAAGAACAGTGGTGACTACAAAGCTGTCTGCAGGTTCAAAATGTATAGAAAGATACAGCAAACAGAATGACTTTCACCTTATGTCAGTTCCAAATACTACAACTATCTTTTGATATGAAGCACAGAAGTAAACACCACCACCTATATAATACCCTCCCCAAAACATTTCAACTGAGTATCAGTGTCAGGAAACAATCAGGCCAACCCCATGTGTGATCTGTTTCCAAGACTGCGGAGCTGGACTCTTCAACAACAAAAATGGTGATGCTGGGCACTTGAAAATTAAAGAAACCAACATTCACCCACCAAATATGCATGCATTTTGTCTGGTTCCCTGCTCAGAAGATAAAGTAAAACGAAAAGCAGCAGAAGATACCCTGGAGGCAGCACAGGGCAGGGGTTGGAGCTGCCGCTGGACCGCGGGCTCTGGGTGGACTGCAGCCCGCACCCTGCTCCAACGACACATCTGCCACCATGGTCTCAGGCGCTTCAGCACAGCAGGGGTTTGCAGGACTGTGCAAGGTGAGGACAACAGGAAGGGGAAGAGAGCAACTGTGACAAAATGTTAAGAATCAGTGAATCTCAGGAAAAATGAGAAATTACAATACTTTAAGATCAAAGTCTGTAGTTACCTCCTTCATAATCTGAAATCTTGTGAGAACCTCCTCCTCAACACCTTTGATTTTATTCAAGGCATCTTCATGTCTGAAAAGCAGTTGTTCTCTCTCAGTTAAAAAGCGTTCTCGCCTCTGGAGCTCTTCCGCGAAGTTCCGCTGGGCGGCGCTCTCGCACTGCACCAAAATGCCAGGTGTAAGTGTGTTAAGGACTCACGAGAGCTGCACGCTGCATCTTACCAAACAGACACTCAGTGCTTCTCAGAAACACACTTCTGGCACCTACAGAAAGCTGTGTTCCAGCGGGGTTAGACCAGTGCAGCAAGGAGCATCTGTGTGAGGATGCAGCACAGGGCACTGTGGGTCCAACGGCATCAGCACCATGCAGAACCAGCCCCACCTCACCCGCAGGAGCTGCACCTGCCCTGCTGTCTGTCAGTCACCTGGAAAAGGCGCTGACCCCGTTTCTGCCTCGTGACAACAAAGAAACACCCAGAGAAACAGCACGTGCCACAAAACGTGAGGCCCTGGGACTCACACCCTCAGTCTCTGACTGAGCTCACACCGCAGCCCAGAAACTCTCAACATTTCCAGTCAGCCTTCTCCTCTGTTCCCTGAGAATGTGTATGTCCACAAACGGATCGCAGTATTTATTACTCAGCTCGCACCGACCGTGATCCAACACAAATGCACCTTCGAAGCACCATGCTGAGAGGAGCCAATGCCAGAGGCCACATAACAAAGCACTCCACCTGCATGGAACTCCAGGGCAGACTCATCCGCTAGACGGAGGGGAGTCAGGGAAAACGAGAAGACCATTCACAGGAGCGGGCACCTTCGGGGAGGATGAATACTCAAAGACTGGCTGAGACAGCAACACAACTCTGTGACTGTATTCAAGATAATCTGATTGTCCACTACAAACTAATGCGTCACGAGTGTAAGAGCAAAGAATGCGCCTTCTCTTCCTCCAGTTCTCATCACTGTCTATCCAACTTCCCCCAAATGAACTTCTGTTTTGCCCGCCCCACCCTCTCCCATGTGCTGAAACCCAGGCCCCAGCACGCCCCCCAAGCTCCAGACCACCCTCTGTGCATGTGCACACACAGAGCTCCAGGCTGGACACTGCGCGGTCCCCACGCCCGTGATGGAGGCTTGGTTACAGCAGCTTTCCGCTGCCACACCGGACCCAACACAACAGGTGAATGACAGGGACTGGGACCTCCAAAACCACAAGCCCTAATAAACTTCTGTTATTCCTTTTCTTTGATCTGCCCAGACTGGTCCTGAGCTCATGGACTGTGATCCTCCTGCCACTGCCTTCCAAGCAGCTGGGACTAAAGGCTGCACCACTGTGCCTGCCCAACCCTCCGTCTTTCTAAGTTGACTATCTCACAGGCATCTTTCCAAGCAGAAACTAGGTTACACTTCGCCGGTGGACACTTGACACACACACAAACTGCACCCTCCGAGATAAAGCCCAAGGTAACAACAGTCGGTGTGCAGAGGCGATTTGAACAATGAGCCCAGAACGCCTGCTTGGCACACCACCCTTTACCAGGGTTTGCTCACTGATGAAGGGGGCATGGAAGGAGCATGACAACAGACTGCCCAGACACACACCTGGAAGGAGCACACCACCGCCTCCGTGTTTCCCTCCCACCCTTCACCACCACAGCAGTTTGCTTCCTTCTGACTGCCCCAGTTATCTAAATGATAAAAATGACACAGCCTGTAGTCAAATCTGCTAACGCTTGGCGCTTAAAACACGAATCCTTCTGAATTCTCACTACAGGGTTCTGCACACAATTCTTACCTGCAGCTTCAGGTGAATCTGAAATAACTCTTCATATATCTGATTTATCTGAGGAGGAAGCAAACCCTGCTTGTGTGACACTCTCAAGTTTGGACAGCCGGTGCGCCGCAGAGGGACGTCTCTGGCATCGCCACCCCACTCAGCACGAGGTCCTGAGGCTGCGTTCGTCAGGAGGGCAACTGTGAAAGTTTTACATATTCTCAGACACAGCCATCTTCAGAAGAGCTGCTGTAACATGAACTGGGCTCTTGCTAGAAAGTCCTGCAAGGTGGCCAAGACTGGTGAGAGGGTAACATTTAGAACACCAGGAATACACAGAAACTCACCATACTCTTTTACGCACATGTGAGATAATTTCAAACTTAATTATTTCAAAGTGCACACAACCACTTGTGTATTAACTGCCCTGGCCCAAAAACAGCTGTCTCAGATCCCCCAAACTAACTCCTCACCAACCGCACTGTTAGTCACTGCTTTTCTTTCTAGTTTCTATTGTTCAAGTTTGAAAAGTCCTCATTTGTTTTTAACCTTTCTTACATGTCTGTAATTATATAACTTCTTTCACCTAATTTTTTGTTGTGTTTTGTTTTTTGGTATTTTGAGACAGAGTCTCACTTTGTAGTTCAGGGTGACCTCAAACTCACAGCTATCCTCCTGCCTCAGCTTCCCAAGTGCTGGTACATCCTGTTTTAAACACTAACATGCTGATTCTGGGACAGGCTGGCAAACTTTCCCACTCCGTCCTGTTCACAAACAGGTGACAATGCTCCCTGACCACGGCGGCCACGGTGCCACCAGGATCCTAGCGCACAGGCCCAGAGCTGCTCTGGGGACACAGGTGGGGGCCAAAGCACTGCTCAGCTGTACTGGTGGTGCCACTCTGGGCCGACCATGGTGCAGTGAAGAGTGGGTCCTCTTGGCCCACGACTCTGCCCTCAGGTCCACTTCTGCTCAGAGTAAGAGCTCAAACTCTACACAGTGGTTCTGACTGGCATTAGCCTCTTGGGAACCCCAGCCAGGGGTGGCTGGTGGTTCTACATCCCAAATCTTAGACAGAAGCTACAGGAGCCATAAATAAAAACACGGAAATTTTTCTTTTGGTTTTTTGACACAGAGTCTTAGTTTTTAGTTCAGGTTGGCCTTGAACTCACTACGAAGCCCAGGCTGGCCTCAAACCAGCCTCAAATCAGGAGTGATTCTCCTACCTTGGCCTCCTGGGTGCTAAGATTATAGGTATGAGCTACTATGCTCAGCTATAAATTAGAAAAAATTGCACTTCAGTTTAGCAAACACCTAAAAGTGAAAGCCAGCGCTTGGCTTGCCTTCCTAGGTCCCTGCTTCACCAGCTGCTGGCCTCAGCATCTATACTTTCTTGGCCAACTTTCAAACATACTCAACTTTTTAAATAGTGTATCCTGTTTTCCGTGGGAAAGTCTAGCAGGGAATGGGAAACACAGACTCAGGGTGAATTGATTTTCATTGTCCCCAAATGGAGATCAGTGTGGAAGGGTTGGGTGACGGCACCTTGGCACCTTGGAAGAAGCTAGGGGCAGAGGTGCAGCCTCCTTTGCAATCCTGGCAAAGGAGCAATGCAGCCAGGGACAGAGAGGTGCTAGAGCTCTGAGCTGGAAAAGGCATCTTGTACGTGATCTGGAGTTTTAAAATGCGCAGCTACTCAACTACAATCATGGCCTCACCTCCCACCAGATACCGACATGAAGCAGCAGCAAAGGCACCCCCACGTATTCGGGTGATCGTGAACTTACTCTGGTATGTCTCGACAGTACCAGTGTGCAGGAGGAAGATCAGGTTTGCCCTTCTCTCCCCCTTCAGTTTAGTAACCAGCGCAGAAGTGTGCGGCTCTGGGACAGGGCCTAAGGGAGCACTGGCCTAGGCCAGGCCCGGTGCCGTTCCCAGAGGCAGAGGGGAAAAGCATCAGAAGCAGAGGCACACAGCCGCCAGGGCCCGGCACTGTCACTACGAGGAAGCGTCATACGCTCTACTAGACACAAGTAGTACTTCAAGGTTTACCTTTTTCCATTTCTTTGAAGGACCGCTTGGTCATTGTGGGGGTATTAACTCCATGATCATTTTCAATTAATTCTTCTTCTGTTTCCTGTTTCTTCAAACCATGAAAAGAATCCAGTTCACCATCTAGGCTTTAAAAAAAAACTTATCACAGAAATCTGGAGGTTTACTATAGCATTTGAAAAACAAAAAACTGCTTTTCAAATATTAACAGCATGACAAATAAGAAAAAAGTAAAAAGTAAACATTTTTTAAAACATTAAAAGCATAGAAACAGTAAAAATTAAAAACTAAAGCCACTGAGCCTGTTAACCTATTATTGTATCTTTCAACATTTCAACATCTTTTCACATTAAGTACAGTGTGTAGTACAACTGCGTGCATCTGAGAAATGCTCTGCAGCTGCCGAGCTTTCTGTGGACGCCCAGCAATTCAGTGAGACACCTGCAACAGGCACTGCTGCCCACACTTTCAAGTGAAGAGTTGATGAGGGAGCCGAGCCCACGGAAGTGGACAGGCCACCAAAGTGGGAAAGGGAAAAGCACAACTGGAGGACACAGCATCAGCTCTCCAGCGAGCCCCTCACAGCTGAAATCTGTAGAGCAGCCTTGCTCAAAGGAATATAATTCAAGTTGCACAGGTAACTTACATTTTTCTGGTAACACATTAAAAAGAGGCAAAACTTTAACAATGTATTTAACCCTATGAATCTAAAATGTTAGTATTTCAACAGATAACATAAAAAATGACTGAGAAGATATTTATGTTCTCTTAACCACACTAAGTTTCTGCAGCACCTCCACGCAGACCAGCCCTTCTGGTACACGAGGCCTGGAGCCCCAAGCTATGCAGACGGCCTGCCTGCAGCCTAGCTCACAGCCAACAGCGCACGGGACTGTCCGATGCCACCAAATCCTTCACAGCACCGAACTTCGAAGTTCTAATTTGGAGTTACACAAAAATCTTTCACCAAAATGGAAAAATGAGCCAGCAGTTAAACACAGGAAAGTAATTTCCATAAATTCATAGCTGTTACTTAAAAGCAACTTCACTTTCCCTACTGTACAACCTCGCTTGTGTCCATGTCTCAAATCTAGACTGTTTTGTGAATGCCAAATGAAACAGTAATAACAATAAAGAACACATGCCAGGTGTAGTGGCACACATCTGTAACCCCAGCACTTGGGAGACTGAGGCAGGAGGATAGTCGTGAGTTCAAGGTCAGGCTGCACAATGAGACCCTGTCTCAAAAAAAAAAAAAAAAGATCATGCTTCACATTTGAGGGCTTTACTATGTACCCAGCACATTTCCAAGTGTTCTACATGAACTGATTCATCTAAGAAGTAATCTGTTTAAAAAATTCAAGTTCCCAAATATCACACACTGCCGGGCGTGATGGCACACGCCTGTAATCCCAGCACTTGGGCGGCTGAGGCAGGAGGATCACTGCAAGTTCAAGACCAGCGTGAGCTACAAAGTGAGCTTAAGGCCAGCCTGAACTGCATAGTGAGACCCTGTCTCAAAAAGACAAAAAAAAAAAAAAATCACATTAAGAGTATAAATATTGTATTTTAACTGTCTTTTTTCTCTCCACAATTAATGTCAACACTTTATTCTGTATGTGCAAACATCCATATGGTCCTACATTACTTTGAAACATTTTCTTCTTCCTGATACCCACAGCATTCCTTCTGCCACACACTGTCATTACACAATATTCAATTTAAAATTGGATTTCACTCTAGCTTCCTTGTTTTGATATTTTTTACCTATAGAAAGCACAGCTCACATAGCCAGCACTGTGCCAGGCAGATTTTGCAGTGGCCATTTCCCCAACTACACAACGTTCGGGCCTTAAGCACTAGAGACATGCAACACACACCATGCTGCCACTGCCCAAAAAGCCTGCAGGCACTTTTCTTTCTCTTTAAGAAAGAGAGCAGGATCTTCATTTGATGAGTAACTCTAAGAGCTCAATACATGGTCCCAACCATCTGGCGGGCTCCATGCTGCCTACATTACCTGGCAAGGAAAGGCAAGCATGTGAACATCGGCCCTCCTCCCTCTCCCAGTTTCCTCACACACTGGGGCAAGCGTGACAGAGAACTCGGTATACTTTACCGATTCCCCTCCAAGTGTTTGAATGAACTGCAAAAAGGCATCACACAGTGCCTCCTCTCCTCAGAATAACATCTTCCTGATGAGCCGACCTTATCTCCAGAGCAGCAGACATCCACATCACCTGCACGGAGAAAGGGGCACAGTAAAGACAGGCCGGCGCTGCACGCGGGCCTCACGCAGGCGGCTGTCTGCAGTTCTCCCTAACGCAAACTTGCAGAAAACAGCAGCCAACCTCCCATTTACACAACATCTGACTACAAAATCCTTCTCCACTTCCACGCGTGGTCCTAGAGACCACCTGACAAGGAAAGCAAGCAGCACCGATGCCTTTAACCTCGTCAACAGGTTAGGAACTTAAAAGCCAGGGAACTAAAGTGAATGTTTTCCAAATTACACAAATAGCACCGCAGGCATGCTACTCGGAAATTCACAATCCAGGCTCAACTTCAGAATCCAGCCTTCTTTCCTCCCAATAACATACCTCACTGATCCTCAGGTGTCTGTTTAATACACAGACAGTGTCTCCAAATCCAGTGAATACAGGAAAACTTCTACTATAAAAAACTCATATTCTCTTCCTCTGACAGGCATTTTACCCCCTCAGAAATTTAATGGTGCTCCACTTTATAGTTTTGAGTTGTTCTGTTTTGTTTTTTTAAACTAAGCTTCAGGACAAATTTCAAACTAAAATATAATTAAAATACAGTTTTAGCTTAATATTTTTCTAAATTCAATGATACCTGGAATTCTTTTCATACTTTTCCAATCAACTTTTTAATTTCACAAAAACTTACAATGGAATACACAGAAAACAATGAAATAAGCTAATCAACACCCCGATAAACTTTAAAGATAATTACTTCTGGAAGGCTGAGACAGGAGGACGGCAAGTTCAAGCCCAGCATGGGCAACTTAGTGAGACTCTGTCTCAAAGGGGATGTAATTCTATGAAAAGGCCTTGGGCTCAATTCCCAGTATCACCAAAACAAACAAATGAATAAATAAATAAAACTACTGTTTCTGCTGCGATTCTCCCAAAGTTTAAGGACTACAAGGAATATTAATAAATCAGCAGACTAGCGGTTAAGATATACCTCACTACCGCTATGTACCTCGGCGGCACGGCACGTCGGCCCACCCAATCCCATAGTATAATCTTTTCCAAATGTTTGATATATTCCTCCTTCACTGTAGTTACTATCTTAGCAATTCAGAAAAGTCCATGCCTAAAAAACAGAGGCTGGGGATTTAGCTCAGCGGCAAAAGCGCCTGCCTGGCAAGCGCAAGGTCGTGAGTTCGGTTCCCGGTACCGGAGAAAAACCAAAAA